TCAACAATATGAATCCAAGGAAAGTGTTCGAATGTTTACGTAATTCAGTTAAACAATATGAATCCAAAGAAAGTGTTCGAATGTTTACGTAATTCAGTTCAACAATATGAATCCAAGGAAAGTGTTCGAATGTTTACGTAATTCAGTTAAGCTAACATTTATTTGTCTTTCTAATTCATATTATCACAATGTTTGGCAAAAAGCATATCTTATTTGAATTCGTGTTTACATTTGTAGAATTTATTTTTCAAGTAGTCGATATCGACATATTTTGTTTGTAAAGAAAATACACTCGCAATTGTTTCATATTTGGTGTTATTATTTGGCATTCTGTTTCCCGTGTCGATTTGTGGTCGATTAGGTCTTTACTTGTTATTCGGTTTGTCAACATTGGATACAACAGTACATATTAATTGTACACAGCATACATACACTGATTATATTTGGCGTGAATGTACAGAACTGAACTTCTTGGAGAAACACGATGTTATGTTCCAAATGAACATGTATATATCCAAGGTTATGGGAGATGCGCCACCACTGGCAGAACTAGGAATTGTCTGTCCATCCGTACATCGAAGTAAAAACAATTTCACGCTAAAAGTTGCCTTGTCTTTTATTGATTCGTTATAATTATTAATTTAGAAGTGAGTGTTGATACCAGTGTGCCGCTTTGGTAATTAGTCTATTCGGTGAAAATAACACAATTACTCTCATATCAATGCGTCATTTAGGATTTATAAATTCTTAGATAAAAAATAACAGGTGTAATTGTAATTTGTTATTATATCTACTCAGGTTGTATAGATGCATTTGTTGTGTGTGCAACTCGGAAAATGAACTCATTTCGCTTGGGGACGAAATCGACCTTTCATATGTTGTGTATTGTCAGTTTGCATAATTGAATTTCTCATTAGATTACCTTTGGGTACAACGAATGTTTTACATCGTTCTTATTAAAATCCCGTGGATGTAGAAACCTCGGTCGCCTTTGATTCTGGTCGAGGTATTCCGCCGGAAGTCTCTACCCTCAGTTCAATCAAATTGTGTTTTCATGCATGCGTTATACGGTAGTTAAAGATGTAGTAGAAGTTTTAGGAAGTAGAATTCACACTAGTTATTTTCAAGGAATAATTGTTTTAAAATCATATCAAACTATATATTTTATGAAAGCTCATAATTGACACTAATTAAACATGGATGTTACGTTAGATACAAAGTTCGTGTAGTAACATGAACTCTAAGCAAATAAATCTTTTATTGAAGATTCAAATTATAAAGGATACCACAAGTTTTTTATTGAAAAATGTATAATAACAGTAACACGTATCTTTAAATTTATTTCTTTGCCTTTCAACGAAAGATTGTGTTCGTTTCAGATTCAGATTCAGATAGTGAAATTTATAGATCTCGTAAATTTAACAAAAATCGCTATGACTGTTATGTTCATATATATTATATATGCAATCTGTGGCACATGTTAATACAAATATAATATGTATAATGTGTGTTAGATTACCCAATTCTCTGACTGCTGTAAGAGACTGTTGTAATGAGTTGTATGCCACGAACGACGATTATCACTAATATATGCACAACATATGTGACTATAAATTGTATTACATGTCTTAAATTTCACACAAATTTGATACATTGTTTATGGTAAAAACATCTGGGGTATTTTGCGATGCACTGACGCGTGTATTGACTGTTGTCACTTATTTGAACCGGTGCTATGCAGAGATCGCTTGTTCAATATAGTTTTCTTAGATGTTTGTGAATATTGTTTTTTGGGAATACTTTATCTATACTATTTGATGGGTATGTAATTTCAGGCAAACACTTATATTTAACAATATATAACCTTGTTTGGTTTCATTAAAGTAGGTTAAATAATTGCAAGAAAAACGTGATAAAACAGATGGCGCAGTTAGTTTCTATAAAGTGATATGCTTAACCTATAAGTATTTTGGAATTCAATACACTGTTCATCGTTATTTCGCTTATAAACATTTCCGTTTGAAGTTATCGTTGAACGTCATGGGTCGGTCGTATTATAATATATATGCCATATTTCATCTTCTAATATAGGGTTGAAATTCAGCCCAAAAATGATTGTAGACTTAAGTGATTGAATATAAAGATCGAAGCTGAATTCTGAAACATCGAGGTAATTGGCAATCTAACTTGGTAAAGTTAATTTAAGCGCAGGGTAGATTTGTTATTATATTGAACTCCAGTCAGTGATCATGTGTGGAATCTGGATGTGAATGTTGATACGCAAATAAATTGTGATGTTTATGTCAGTACTGTTAATTAGTCTTTGTTTTATCACGTATATGTATATTCAAGATTAGAAAATGTTTATTATTTAATATCGCGGAATTGTTTGTTTA